TGTATAATATTCAAATCAGCCCACACATGTCTAAATCTTCAACATTGCTCACTTCTTTATGGTAAAAACATTCAAAGTTCTTTCTCCCATATTTTTGTTTGGCTTTTTTTTTTAATGTGGTACTGAGGAATCGAACCCAGGGCTTCATGCATGCTAGGCAAGTATTCCACCACTAAGCCACCTGCCCAGCCCCTCTCCCATGATTTTGAAACATCAGTAAATTATCATTCTTGACTTGAGTTATATTGCCCAAGAATGTGAGGAAAATGAGATTCAAAAATGGGGAGATGAATCTTTTGTTATTTATGAGTAATTTGGAACAGTATTGGGACCTTGAATCTGAAGTAGCTTGTAGAGAGAATGCTGCTGCTTTGGGATGGTGATAGCGTGGGTGTGGGGAACTGCCACACAGACCTAAGGAAAACGGGGTGTGTGTGTGTGTGTGTGTGTGTGTGTGTGTGTGTGTGTGTGTGTGTGTGTGTGTGTGTGTGTGTGTGTGTGTGTGTGTGTGTGTAGGGTAGCAACAGAAAGCTCCAGGATCCCTCTTTGTGACTTTTGTCTTTTTCTCCAGGTTCTTGCCAGACTGTGCCATAGCTTGTTTTTTTTTTTTTGGTTCAGTCATGGGGCCTGAACTCTGGGCCTGGGCACTGTCCTTCAGCTCTTCAGCTCAAGGCGAGCGCTTTACCACTTGAACCACAGCACCACTTCCGGCTTTTTTCTTTTTGCTTATGTGGTGCTGAGGAATCGAACGCAAGGCCTCATGCATGCAAGGCAAGCGCTCTACCACTGAGCCACTTTCCCAGCCCTAGCTTGTCTTTTTTGTACCTGCTAAATACTTGAATGTCAGATGATTTAATCTCCAGTACATTTGTTTCTGTGTGAGTTGTTCCATGTTGTGACTTCCTGACCTTGTTTTTTTAACCTTTTTAGGGTCCTTTCTATTTATTGTTTTGGTCCTGAGGCTCTGAATTCCTCCCAATATAGTGTCACCATGATAGCAACTCACAAGGTAAAGAGCTGAACCGTGGGCTCTGAGCAGAGTCGTTTGACCTTTTCCCTTCTTTGTCTTCTTTCCCTTACTTTCCTCTTCCCCTCTATTCATAAATACTTGTGCCATTGAAACTGTGACAGGCATTTCCTGAGCAGGAGGTAGATCCTGGAACAAAAGTTTAAAAACATGGAAGATGAACTAGACCAGCGCAACCTCAGTAGCTTCCAAGCTTCATTGTTTGCATGCCTCCTCTGTGACTTCTTCCACCTTCAGCTACCAGATGTTATTTACTTCATACTTCGACTTGACTATTCATTGATTATATTCAGATTAGCTTGAACTCAGGGCCTACACACCTTTTTTTTTTTTTTTTTTGTGCTCAAGGCTAGTGCTCTACCACTTGTACCACAGCTCTAGCCTCTCTTCCAGCTTTATTGGCAATTAACTGGGAACACAATTATCGTGGGCTTTTGCTGACTTTGGTCCTCACATCTCAGCCTCCTGAGTAGCAAGAAGCTACTGACTCCTGGCTTACTATTTTTTTGTTCAAGTTATGTAACCCCATTAAGGTTCATTTTCAGGCTCTGCAGAATGGGGTGACTAATGCTACTACTAGCCTCACAGGATTTTGATGGAACTTAAACTATGCAATCCATATATCCCAGTATCTGGGCACATTAAGAGCTCAATATTATTAGTAAGGTGAGTAAGATTATTGATAAATATTATTATTAGTGGGAAGCATACACAGTGAGCTATGCAGGGCCAGTGGGGAGTGTGCACTCGTTTCCTATGGCTGCTGAAATAAATGAGCACAAACTCAATGGCTTAAAGCATGCACTCTGGTGGCCAGAGAGCTGAGATCAGTTTTACTGGGTAGAAGCTAAGGTTCAGGGCTCCGCTTTCTGCAGAGGCTCCTGGGAGGCTCTGTGTTTCACACTTCAGGTTCTGGTGATGATCAGCATGTCTTGGCTTGCTGAAGTCAACACCTCAGTCTCTGGCCTGGGACATGTTGTTATCACTTCCTTTTTCTCTGCCTTTTGATGGTAATACATGTTATTTAGGGCAATTTAGGATGGAACCCCATCTCATGGTAAGTTAACCCCTAACCACATCACAAAGTCCTGTTGTCATGGAAGGCAACATAAAGGGAAATTTGTAGGCTGCAGAATTGCGATCTGAATATTGCTTCCCTTAGGTAGGAATGTCTAGGACACTTTTCCGAGGTTGTTGGTGGTAAACTGAGTGTGAAGGTAGGCTAGGAATTACCCTGGCAGATAATCATGGGAGAGATTTAAAGCGGAAAGCATTCAAGATGGACAGAGTAACAAACCAAGTCAGAGAGACACAGACTTGCCAAGGTGCCAGTGTGAAATTTTTCATCATTTTGCTTAGCTGACATATTGCCAATTTCTTCTTTTAAATTCAATCTTTTTTTTTAAAGCTTACTTAATTTTTGGACACCAAAAAAACCATTGAGCAGGTCTTCTTCCTCGTTTTTTTTTTTTTTTTTTTGTAAATTAAATATATTTTCAAACACGATGTCTCCTCTCTTTCTTTCTCCTCCCTTTCGGCCAGGCGAAGGGCAGCTTGGATGAAGTGCAGAGATTGCTTGAGTATGGCCACAGATAGTCTCACAGTGTTTCAAAAGCTAGAATCAGCTGAAATCTTTGAAAAGTGGAGAAACAAAGTATATAAATTTCAGCATATAATGGCATTTCATGTTAGAGTTCACACTTGTGTAACAGAAATGGTCTGTCACTATAGTTAGGATTGCAACTATTCTGTATGTCTACATGTTCTTGATTAGAGGCTGTAGGTGTACAATAGCATTTTGTTGTTTTTATGTTATTTTAAATAATTTTGTTGCCATTGTCATTGGTACCTAGATTTTTTTTTTGGTGCTGGTCCTGGGGCTTGAACTCAAGCCCTGGCACTGTCCCTGAGCTTTATCCATTATAGACTAGCACTATACCACTTGAGCTATACCTCCACTTTCAACTTTTTGGGTGGTTAATTGGTTAACCGGACCCCTCCCCCCCAAAAAAAGAAAATACATACTTGTCTCAGCAAGACAAAACTGACATCTGCAGAACTGTGCACTACCAGCTAAAAATCTGCAAGCAAGCAAGCACACAGAGAAGGCAGGCTGCTCCCTACTTATCCTTAACACAGAAGGCTCTGCCCACTTTGCTCTGATTGCTTGAGCTCAGGTTCACAATCTGCTTGTGATTGGCTGGTTAGAATAGTACATAATGTATTTACATAAGGTTACTTTGAAATATGTAATCTCAAAATAAACCTGTAGCCTCTGATATATATATATATATATAATTGTGAAAATACTGTACAGAGGGGTTACAATTACACGTGCAAGGTAATGATTGTTTTTTTTTTTTTTTTTTGGGTCTGGTTGTGGGGCCTGAACTCTAGGCCTGGGTGCTGTCCATTAGCTCTTCAGCTCAAGGCTAGCACTCTACCACTTAAGCCACAGCACCACTTCCAGCTTTTTTCTTTTTGCTTATGTGGTGCTGAGGAATCGAACCCAGGGCCTCATGCATGCAAGGCAAGCGCTCTACCACTGAGCCACCTTCCCAGCCCACGGGCAAGATAATGAGTACATTTCTTTTTTTTTTTTTGGGTCCGGTCGTGGGGCCTGAACTCTGGGCTTGAGCACTGTCCTTCAGCTCTTCAGCTCAAGGCTAGCGCTCTACCACTTGAGCCACAGCGCCACTTCCGGCTTTTTTTCTTTTTGCTTATGTGGTGCTCGGGAATCGAACCCAGGGCCTCATGCATGCAAGGCAAGCGCTTTACCACTGAGCCACCTTCCCAGCCCCATGAGTACATTTCTTATCAAGCATTGTTGCCTCCTACTTTGTTTCCCCTTCCAATCCCCTCCCATTCCCCCCCTGGAACAATCTGATGTGTGTCTGAATTCCACCTTGAAAAGAAACCAGTTGAAGACAAAACCTTACATTTCAAAAATACTTCCTTATCTCAAAGCAGTTCCTCAGCTTTTCCTTAACAAGAATTAAGCAAACCATCAGGCCAAAGCAGGAAATTTAAAGCAACACACTTTGATAGACAGTTTTTCTCTCAATTTTGATAAAAGTTGGATAAAAGACTATCAGAACCATATATATGGTTCAATGAGATAACAAAATCATTTATTTATGTTCATGGAAATTTAGGTAAATTACTTAAGATTTTGTAATTGAGTACCCCTATTTCTAGTGGGTATAGATGTTTTTGTTCTATGAGTGGTTTGTAGGTTAAGGAAATTTTATTTAGGCTAGTGAAATAAAAATTTTAGGGCTGGGAAGGTGGTTGAGTGGTAGAGTGCTTGCCTTGCATGCATGAGGCCCTGGGTTTGATTCCTTAGCACCACATAAACAGAAAAGGCTGGAAGTGATGCTGTGGCTCAAGTGGTAGAGCACTAGCCTTGAGCTGAAGAGCTGAGGGACAGCGCCCAGGCCCAGAATTCAAGCCCTATGACTGACCAAAAAAAAAAAAAAAAGAATTTTAATTTAGCTGATACCTGCCATATACAGTTGTTGAAGAAACTAGAAATTGTCTATATGTATATAGATATATATATGAATAAACTGTTCATTACACAGTGATGATAATAAACCATAGCAATTAATTGTAGTATTGATTTAGTAATGTAGATTCTTTGAACTTTGTAGTCAATTGTTAGTCGTAACTGTGTCCATCACATCTCAGGTATGCATATATGTTTCTAAAGAAGTATTTTCTAGGGGCTGGGAAGGTGGCTCAGTGGTAGAGTGCTTGCCTTGCATGCATGAGGCCCTGGGTTCGATTCCTCAGCACCACATAAGCAAAAAGAAAAAAGTTGAAAGTGGTGCTGTGGCTCAAGTGGTAGAGCGCTAGCCTTGAGCTGAAGAGCTGAGGGACAGTGCCCAGGCCCAGAGTTCAGGCCCCACAACTGGACTGCCCCTCCCCCCCCCAAAAAAGAAGTATTTTCTATATATGTGTTTGCTTCCAGAAATGTCTAAACCAGCTATATTTGAACCAGAAGATGATCCAACAAATGAGTGGGAAAATGCAGCGCTGTGAGAAGTCCCAATGTGTTTGGAAAGGTATAGGCCAAAGATATTCCATGTGACTTTTTTTTTTGTCGGTTGTGGGGCTTGAACTCTGGGCCTGGGCGCTGTCCCTTAGCTCTTCAGCTCAAGGCGAGCGCTCTACCACTTGAGCTACAGCGCCACTTCCAGTTTTCTGGTGGTTTATTGGAGATAGGAGTCTCATGGTCTCTCCTGCCCGGGCTGGCCTTGAACCGCGATCCTCAGATCTCAGCCTCCTGAGTAGCTAGGATTACAGGCGTGAGCCACCAGCGCCCGGCTTCCAGGTGGCCTTTCTTACCCTCTTGTCTCCCTGACTCCTGTATTTCTTCTTTATCTGAAAATGCTATTAAAAATATTCGTTAGATTAAACCAACATAATTGTAAAATGTAGACAATTTGCCTAATACTCTGTCCTAACTGCCCTCAACCTCCAAGGACCATTTTTGTGAGGTGACGACTCGTAGCTCTTCTAGCTATTCCCCTGCTATTGCCATCTATTTTCATTACACTGCTGATAAACTGCAATTCCTTGCAATGACTCCCTAGAATAGTAAATATGAACTTAGTTCTCTGCTTACTTTATTCTTCAGTTTTTGGATATATTTATATCATACTTTAAAAAAGTGTGTTGGAGGGGCTGGAAAGGTGGCTCAGTGGTAGAGTGCTTGTCTTGCATGCATGAGGCCCTGGGTTCAATTCCTCAGCACCACATAAACAAAAAAGCCAGAAGTAGCTCTGTGGCTCAAGTGGTAGAAAACTAGCCTTGAGCTGAAGAGCTGAGGGACAAGTGTCCAGGCCTAGAATTCAGGACCCATGATGGACAAAAAAAAGTGGGTTGGAGGAGTAGCTGAGTGGTAAAACACCTTTCTAGCAAGTACAAAGCTCCCAATTCAAACCCTGGAACTACAAATAAATAAACAAGCAAACAAGGTACTAAGTATTTATATCGTAGTACTATACAAAGTCAAAGCCCTTACAGGTATTTTTTATGCTCTTTGCCAACTCATAACCCTTTATCCACATTCTAGAAACTTGTACTATCTATTACTCACAATATTCACTTCTTATTTTTTGTATTTGTGTCTTCACACTTTAGAACAGTCATTTTCTTTCACTTTAGTAAGGCTGCAAATAAGAGGCAGAGGAAATAGCAGCTTTAGTGAGATGGCTTTGTGGCTGCACTGAGGAAAGATTTGAAGAAGAGGAAGTTGGAAGACAAGACTAGCTGTGAGGCCCTCAAGATTAAGTAGGTTCTTTTAGAAAAAGTTAAAGGTGGAATTGGAGGCATGACCCAGCTGGTAGAGTGCTAGCCAATGAGCCAAAGCAGCAGGTTCTGAGTTTGTGTCCCAGTCTTAGATCTAAAAAAAAAGAAAGAAATAAAAATGTTTAAAGTATGACGTGGCTCAATCATATGTTACTGGGAATCTGGGACAAGTTCTATCTAGTTCTGTATATGGGAGGTATTTCTTCATACTTTATCCATATCTGCTTAAGTCTTGGAACTCTCACAGTGACTTTCAAGCTGGAAAGAACCCCAAACTGGAAGGAGCTGGTGGTGTGGTGGCAGTAAATTTGGAAAACTTCTACAGTAATGGCCTGGAGAGGGAATCACCGATGGGTACTTTTCAGAAAGTTCCTTGTCCCATATTACATTTAGATGTTCGAAGTCATTTTACCCTGATCCCTGTGTGTTCTCCCTTACTTTCTTATTCCATCTTGGAAGTTGGGTCATTTATGGGGTTATTATGGATTGTGAATTGGAATTCTCTATGAGAAACCTACTGAGAGAACCAGGGGTTCATTTTGCAAATATAAAGGAAACTTGCCTGTTGCATTTCCCTTTGGGATAGTTTTGGTAAGTGAATCTATGGGGTTTATTTTCTTCTAGTCTATAGTTTGCTTTTCATTCTCTTGATAGTGTCTTTTTTGTTTCTCAGGTTTTTATTTAACTAGAGTGTTAGTGTTTTTAAAAAGTGTTAGACTTTTAGTGTTAAAAAGTTAGTGTTAGACTTACTTTTTCACATTTCTGTTAGCAAATACTAGTTCTACAAGGGTTTTCCTTCTGAGAATTTCATATATACATTCATTGTACCCTTTTGATAGTGTCTTTTTTTTGGTCCAGTCGTGGGGCCTGAACTCTGGGCCTGGGCGCTGTCCCTCAGCTCTTCAGCTCAAGGCTAGTGCTCTACCACTTGAGCTACAGCACCACTTCCGGCTTTTTTCTTTTTTTGCTTATGTGGTGCTGAGGAATCGAACCCAGGGCCTCATGCATGCAAGGCAAGTGCTCTACCACTGAGCCACCTTCCCAGCCCTGACAGTATCTTTTATAGAGTAGAAGTTTTAAATTTTGAAGTCCAGCTTAAAATTTATTCATGAGAATATTACAAGTTATTTATTGAAATATTATGTGTCATAATGATTTTTGGATATTAACTTTATATCTTGCAACCTTAGTAAAATCACTGATCACTCATTAGTTGCAGGAGCTTTTTTGCTGTTATCACTGGGATTTTTTTTTTCCCCTTTGGTGGTGATAGGGATTGAGCTAGAGACTTGTATGGGCAAGAAAAGCTACAACTCTACCCCTGATGTTAAATCTTTGGGTATTGATTTCTTTCAAAAATTGTTCACTATCCTTTATGGGAAGACATAAATATATCTAGCAACTTTGCAGCACTGCCAACAATTGCATGTGTGCATTACTGACACAGAGGCAGGATTTTATGAGTTATATTTGGGTTTCCTGGTGCTCTCATATTTTATCTGAAGTCATTTGGTCCTAGCGACCAAAAGTCACGTGAGTAGTCTGGGTTCCTGTTGAATGTATCATATTAGTTGACCACAGGTTGAATGGTTGAAGATGAAAAGATAGTGGTTTGTGGTTTGGAGTTGGTGGAGTCTTGATGAGAATTTAAGAAAGAACAAAGATATAATTCTGACTACAGATAGTCATGGGTAAAATTAGCCATGTGTTCTGATACAGAAATGGTGAGAGAAAAACTGACATCAGCAGATCAACAAATATTGACGAGGATTCAGAGTAGAGATTTGGTCTGTCAGATAAGTACGGTGTGGTGAACATACAGATACGAAAATACACTGGTTTTAATATTTCAAACAACAGAACAAATATTCAAAGCATAATGACTACTAAGAGCTTTTGCCTATATTTAGGTCTGGTACTCATGTACTTTTTTTTTTAATTAAAAAGTGCCATTTAATATTCTTTTAAAAGTTAATACTGAAGTCTTCTCTATTTCTTTTCTTCCTCTTTTATTTGTATTAAAATTTTATCATGATGAACATGTTTTTTTTTCACACTGTAATGTCTCTGTTTTGTGTATGTGTGTGCGTGTGTGTGTGTGTGTGTGTGTGTGTGTGTGTGTGTGTGTGTGTGGTGTTATTGGGGCTTGAATGCAGGACTTTCTTTTGCTCAAGGCTAGTGCTCTGCTACTTGAGCCACAGCTCTACTTGTGGCTTATTGGAAAGGTGCTGTACAGAGGGGTTACAGTTACATGAGTAACTTTTTAAGTAGTTTATTGGAGATAAGAGTCTCATTGACGGTTCAGCCTCCTGAGTAGCTAGGATTGCAGACGCGAGACACCAGCACTTGGCTCACATTGTCATCTAATATCTACAACAATAAATATTATCTTTTTTGGAGCCATACAGATGTATACCTTGTGTGCTTTTGTAGGCTGCAGAGACAGAGTCAGAGATGAATCTTTCCATCTTAAAAGGAGCAGCAATATAAACTATCCCATATACCAACCGGAGGTGAAAATTCATCTTACTGGTCTTCGAAATGACTACTGTAAGTTATTGTTTAAATGTGACCAGAAAAGCTGAAATGACAAAAAAATCAAGTGCTCTGACAATAACTTGGAATTTGATTCTGGAAGACCCCGATGTGCCAGTGTCTCAATGTTATACCGTTAATCTGTGGTTAATGTAATTGGTTATTCCTGTGTAGCCTCTGTGTTCAGGAATGGGTGCTGGTGTGATGAGGCACGAGCATGGTTACTCATAAACACTTTATTTTATTGTGTTAGATGAAGCTTCATTAATGTTGGCGTATTCTTATGCATGCACTTTAAACATAGGCAGATCTAATCACTTGTTCAGTTATGATGCAGTATTAACACATAAAACTGATACCAACATCCCAATGTAGAATATTGAATATGTGAATTATGGAGCTCAGTGAGCTCTGGAGTTGACCAGAAAGATTCAGATATTCTGACTTACACTTGGTCTTGAAAGATGGGTGGAGGGAGAAGAAAGCATTTTTGGTAAACTTAACAACATGAGCAAAGGCAGGATGTTGGTAATTATTGACAATAGCAATGAAGTAGACACATTGGAGATTAGTACATTGTTTTTGTTTTTGTTTTCCCCCAATATTGAGTCTTGAACTCAGGGTTGGGGTGCTGTTTTGTTCAAGACTGGTACTATACCATATGAGCCATTGCTCTACTTTGAACTTTTTGGTAGTTAATTGGAGATAAGAGTCTCACAGACTTTCCTGCTTGTGAGAAAGAATCAGTGGAGGAAAGTTCATGGTGTTTGGCTAGAGCATTTTTTGCTCTGTGTCCGTAGAAATATGCTTTTCTTTTAACAAAGAGTTGTTATTAGCATAAGGTAGAGAATGCTGCTGAGAACTTTCACAAATGAGTCACTATCTTTTCATGATATGCACTAGTTGGTAGTTGGTTAGAAATGATGGTGCCATTTCCTATATAAAATGTCCTAAATCGGGGCTGGGAAGGTGGCTCAGTGGTAGAGCGTTTGCCTTGCATGCCTGAGGCCCTGGGTTTGATTCCTCAGCACCACATAAGCAAAAAGAAAAAAAGCGGGAAGTGGCGCTGTGGCTCAAGTGGTAGAGCGCTAGCCTTGAGCTGAAGAGCTGAGGGACAGCGCCCAGGCCCAGAGTTCAGGCCCCACGACCGGCCCTCCCCCCCAAAAAAAAGTCCTAAATCATAATGATCATCCATATTTAATTTTTATGTATATTTAGTTTTTAGTAATGTTAGATGATGTCCATGAGTACTAGTAATGGTAAATGATTCTGCCAGGATTGTTAAAATGCCTCTAAATGATTATATTGAGCATAAGCTATATGTATTATTTTAGTTGTTTTTTTTTTTTTTTTTTTTTTTTTGTCGGTCGTGGGGCTTGAACTCTGGGCCTGGGCGCTGTCCCTCAGCTCTTCAGCTCAAGGTGAGCGCTCTACCACTTGAGCTACAGCGCCACTTCCTATATGTATTATTTTAATTATGAGTCTTGGACCAGATTGTATGTTAGCTCTTACCTTACTATTATTTTAAGCAATACTGGGGTTTGAACTCAGGGCCCCATGCTTGCTAGGCAGAAGCCTTACCATTTGGCCAGGACCATGATCTTCACCATTTATGTCTCCTGCGTAACTGGGATAACAGGCAGACCGACCATATCCAGCTTATTGGTTGAGATGGCTTCTCACTAACTTTTTGCCCTTCAACCACTATCCTTCACCTTTGTAACACTGAGGTCGCTGGGGTTACAAATGTGAGCCATTATGCCTCGCCAGGTTTTTTTCTTTTTCTTTTTCTTTCTCCATTGGTGTTTGAATTGTGCAGGTCTTGTCCTATTGCTTTGCTTTTTGCTCCTGGCTGACACTTTACCACTTGAGCCATGCCTCCACTTCTGGCTTTTTGTTGGTTAATTGTAGTCTTGATGATTTGTCTGTCTGGGCTAGCTTCAAATTGTGATTTGCAGACGTTAGCTCCTAAGTAGCTATGATTTTAGGTGTGAGCTACTGACACCCAACCTGGTCCAGTTTTTATTTTTGAGCTTCTAATGATCAACTTTGATGTATAGTATTGTTTTTTAACCATGGAGAAGTATTACTTTTTCATTGCTACCTAGAAATAAAAGTGTTTGTTTAAAATGTTTTTATTTGGTATATACTTGCTCTAATTTGAAGTGCTTTTCTTACAGATCTGAATCTCCTAGACTGGAATTTACAAAATCTTGTTGCTATAGCCCTTGGATCTACAGTCTACATATGGAATGGAGAAAACCATACTGAGATTGAAAACATCGACTTAAGTCTCACCTGTAATTATGTGTCTTCTGTGTCCTGGATAAAAGAGGGCTCATGCCTGGCAGTTGGTACCAGTGAGGGAGAAGTACAAGTACCTGAATATTTCTTGTCTTTTGTTCCCTGTTGAATTATTAGATAACTAGAACTGACCTCTTATAGTTGACTTCTAATACACAGAGAAACTAGATTAGTTAAAGCTTTGGGAAGTGGGGAGAGATAATTTTTTTTTCTGAATGGCATTTTATCAAGACTTAAAAAATACTCTCCTTAGTTTCTAAGTCTTCTGCTATGTTTCATTTGTTGTTGTTTTTAAAAAGATTTTTTTTTTCTTTTTGGGTGTTGATGGCTCATACCTGTAATCCTAACTACTCAGGAGACTGAGATCTGATGATTGTGGTTTGAAGCCAGCTTGCGGAGGAAAGTCTGTGTGACTCTTATTTCCAGTTAACCACCAAAAAGCAGCTAATGGGACTGTAGCTCAAGTAGTAGAGTCTCAGCCTTGAGCAAACAATTAAAAGACAGCATTGAGGCCCTGAGTTCAAGCCCCAGTACCAACACACACACACACACACACACACACACACACACACACACTTCTCTGCCGGACACCAGTGGCTGACACCTGTAATCTTAAGCCAAGGGTAGGAGAATTTCAGTTCCAGGATAGGTGGGGCAAAAAAGTCCAGGAAACTGTATCTTGATCGTTGTGTATAGTGAAGACCAACAATTATCCCAGCTATGATGGGAAGGATGAAATAGGTGGATTGCAGCCCAGATTCACACCTGGGCTTGAAATGAGACCCTATCTTAAAAATAACCAATGCAAAAAAGCACCAGAGGCATGACTCAACAATAGAGTACCTGCCTAGCAAGCACAAGACCCTGAGTTCAACTTCCAGTACCATCAAAAACTATAGTAAGGTTGGTAGACATCCTAGTTTTGGGACTTTGGAGAGAGGAAGATGCGCTTCCAGTTCTTTCTCCTGAAGGCGTGGTTAGGAGTAGAGCTATGTTAAATGAATTGTTAAATGCATGCATTTTTCCTGTGATGAGGCTGAGAAGAGTATTTATCAAGCTCCCATTAATCTACCTAATTTCTCACATATCATTATTGTTGTTTATTATCAGTGAACAGTGTGTACTTGATGATTTCGGAGTCCCAGGATGGCCTTTGCTACTTTTTCTTCACAGTGATGCTGATGCTGTGATGGTTATGTTATTTCTTCTCACACCAATCGTGTCCTTCCTCATATGGGTTAGGGTCAGGATATCAGCTGTAGCTGGTAGGAAATGAGTCTCAGCAGTAAGTTGCATTTCAGATTCTAGGAAGCATTCATGCACTCCGATTTTATTCATACTGATTAACTAAAAACATTTCAGATTATGAATCCTTTCAGATTTTGGAGTAGGGAGATACTCAACTGATAAGATTCTAAGCCCAACCTGTTTGTTGGTAATGGAGGAGGGATTTCCAGACTTGAGGTCCCTTAGCTTAGAAGGAGGGACGAGTGCGATGATTCTCATTTTCTTGCAGCCCACTGAATTCATCTGGAGAGCTTTAAAACAAATGCCACCTCCCCAGGCGCTCTCCTCTGCCAACGGAATCAGTGTTGCCAGCAGCCATAGTGCTTTCTTTACAGGCTCCACAAGTAATCTTACGAATTCTCAGAATACTGATTAGAGTCAAGGTGCTGAGTTTTCGCCTAGTTACTTGATAATTGGTTGTCAGGCCTTTGAGGAGACAGAGGGCTCTAAAGATGCCAATGTTACATAACTCTGTTCACTTTTTCAGTTATGGGACATAGTAACTAAAAAGCGGCTGAGAAATATGCACGGTCATTTGTCAGTGGTTGGGGCCCTGAGCTGGAATCATTGTACCCTCAGCAGGTAACTTAAGCCAACTCTGTGTCACCAGTTGACTGGGGGTGGGAGAGGTGGGGAGTGCGTGGCACTGACTGAACCAAAACCAAAAAGAAAAAGAGAACACCAGGACCTTGGGCTTCCCCAGCTAATTGATACTAAGTAAAAAATGTAAAGAAATATTTGCAACTAGAAAACAAGAGTGGATCTATAGGTTAATAAGAATATACCTGCTAGAAAATGATAATAATAAATGACTATGTTTAACCTCCTCCTATAAATATGTACTAAAACCATCTCATTGAGATAGTATGAAATATTCCAAGTTGCATAAACTGTATTCTGCAAAGATCCAGAAGTCTTTTAAATGTATCTTGAAACTCTGGCTGACAAATCTATTTTGATTGTGAAAAGAATGACCCAGGCAGAATATTCCATTCTATTAACAGAAGGGATTTCTGCTTGTTTGCAAACAGAAATCTTTTTGTAGTTGAATCATATTTTTGCCCATGTTTTCTTTCCCGTCCTTATGTGGCAGTGGGCTTCACTTTTCTGTCACATGACCCTGCCTCTTGCCCTCCGTGCAGTGGGTCCAGACTGGGACGTGTTTATCATCATGACGTTCGGGTAGCACAGCACCGTGTCGGAACGCTCCTGCACAAGCATGCTGTGTGTGCTCTGAAGTGGTCCCCCCATGGCAGGTTGCTTGCCAGTGGCTGCAGTGACGGCCTGCTGACAATATGGCCACACCATCCAGGTGCCGGGACCCAAACCCAGCCGCTGACAGTCATACCTCAACTCACAGCAGTTAAGGTATGAAATCCAACAGCTGCCGGCTTTCCTCTTCGTTATTTATTTATTTATTTTTACAGAGACTATTAAAGAAAGCTTTCAAAGTTCTCTTCCTTCAGAATTGTTTCAGGTGTTGGTCACCACTGTAGGTCACTGAAATCAAAGTCAAACTTGAACTTAAGCAAAACCCAAAACAAAAATAGTGTTCTCTCCTGTAAACTGTGGAGTCCTGAATAGCTAAGCTGAACTATTGGCTGGATCTAGGGCCATGAGTAATGTCATCTGAAGCCTGCCTTTTACTTGTCTGTCTCTCCTTAGGGTGCTTTGTCCTTCAGACTCCATTTGGTGGGCAAGATGGCTCTTGCAGCTTCAACTTCGGTTCTCCCTGAGGGGTGTGGGATCAGAAGCCATCTTTCCTACTAGAAAAGTACTTGGGAAGATTTGGGCTGCCTTTGGTCACATTTCACATCCCCATGGATGATGGCTACCAGAGAGAGACAGGCACTATACAAACTCTAACAACTTCGTTGTCCAAGGTTTCCATGTACGGTGTAATTGTGCTTATCTATTGCTGAGAACAAATTAATGAGAATGCAGTGCTGTAAAACAACACTGATTTTAATCTTTCTGCTGTTTCACTGGGTTGAGACTCTGGGAAAAGCCTGAGCAATCATGGCTCAGGTTCTCACGAGATGCAGTATGGTGGCAGAAGGTAACAGGTCTGGGGCTGGACTGGCTGTGAGCCAGCCAGGAAGTCCTCCCCTGGAGCTTGCTGAGGTTTTAGCATTTCCCATTGCTTGGAGTAGACTGGGCTTGTTTACAATAGGGCTCACTTTGAAACAGCTGGAATTTGTGCACCCTGAGAGTTGGTCTGGTGCTTTAGCGACCTTTTTAATTTTCTAGTTCCAATGTCAGCCTTACCACATTGTGCTGGTTATGAGGTTCTCAGGAGTCCTCCTCCATTCAAAGGCAAGGAGATTACATTCTACCTCCTGATGAAGGGAGCAGGCAAAGTCTTATTAGATGATAGATAGATAGCATTACAGTTCCTAAGCCTATGCATGAAGTAATCAAACTCACACTTTGTGCAAATGATCATGAAATAGTTCTTTTTAAAGTAGTTAATTGAGCCACATCTAACTGATCATTTATCTTTAGGGACTAGCATTTATCCAGGGCTTCCAAAATATTTATCCTAGTTTTTAATAGAAACTTAGTTTTCATCTTTAAGCCTAAACTGATTTTAATTAAATATTTCCATATGATTTAACTAACCCCACATCATAGTAAGTTCATCTGTTGTAAAAAAGATGGGAGCTGAGTTATGAGTAGGCTAAAGAGGTACTTGGCTTAAGTGGTGTAGAGCTAGCCTTAAGTAAATAAAGCTCAAGGGCAAGGCTCTGTGTTCAAGCCATAGGACTGGCACCAAGGTCTGGGAATGTGGCGTAGTGGTAGAGTGCTTGTCTAGCATGCATGAAACCCTGGGTTCAATTCCTTAGCACCACATACACAGAAAAAAACCAGAAGTGGTGCTGTGGCTCAAGTGGTAGAGTACTAGACTTAAGCAAAAGAAGCTCAGGGACAGTGCCCAGGCCCTGAGTTCACACCCCAAGACTGGAAAAAAAAAAAAAAGAAAGAAAAGGACTGGCACCAAAAGAAAAAAAAAAAAAGAAAATGGAATCAAAATTAAGAAAACCAAGAAACTATAGATATTTAAATGGGCCAAAGGACAACAAAAACTCACAAGGAGGAAGTGTTAGGAACACAGGATAAAGTCCATTGTTGTTAATAAAGAAATATAAAATAAATCATCTGTATAATCTGTTTCATAATTATAATTCTATTACATGCAAAATAACTTTTTATTTCAAATAACCTTTAGCCAGTAAGAAATGAGCATGATTATCTGATGCTAGTGTTGCAAAAACTTAAAACTGTTTGGAAAAATGTTATAGCCATAATTGTGAAATTTACAATTTGCCTAAAAATTTGTCATAACCAAAATAATTGAATATATTAGTGTTTTTTTTAAATAACAGCAAAGGAAGCACACAAAACTAAGAAAATTCCACTTCCCCCTAGCCACTCAACCGAACCAATAATAAAAACTAAACCAAAAATAAAATAAAGAACAACCAGGAAGAGTCTTCTTCATCAGGTACCTTTCTTTCCAGGAGTGGCTTTCAATTCCCAAGAAATGATATTTTTTTTTTGGGTCGTTCCTGGGGCTTGAACTCTGGGCTTGGGCGCTGTCCCTGTGCTCTTCAGCTCAAGGTGAGCACTCTACCACTTGAGCCACAGTGCCACCTCCCCAAGAAATGATTCCTGAAGGGTGTAGCTTCTCCTGCTTTTGAATAGGAAGCCCAGGAGAGTTGCTAAGCTGTAGGCCTCTGGGACTGGTGCTTATTGGCGTACCTCACATTCTTGAGCTCACCTTTTCCAAGTCTAACCTGCTTGTGTTGCTATTAACTTTAAAGGCTGTGGACTGGTGTCCCTGGCAGTCTGAGATCCTTGCTATTGGAGGAGGAATGAAGGACGGATGTCTGCACATTTTGGATATAAAGACTGGGACGAGCATCAAGACCCCAAGCACAAACTCACAGGTAAGTATGTCTTGTGTAGTCTACTTTCATCCCCACCTTCTAGAATCTTCTGAAAATGATTATAGAGCATAAAACCTAAGCACATCTCTCTCTACCTACTGACTCCATAAGAAATTTCAGTTCTCAAGAATTCCTTTTCTGTAAACTCTCTTAATCTGAGAGTCCTAAAGCTAATTCAACTTGTATTTTGCTTCTGTTTCTATTTTTGTTTTTCTTTCTTTTTCACCACTGTTTTGTAAAACGGGTCTTTTCTGTTCCTGGCCAGTGATGGAAAATCAAATAAACTCATTATTTGTAACACATGATTTGCAGTCCTGGTCCTTTGTTGTTTTCTTAGAACAAGTAGAATTCCAATATTACCAGAACTCCAGCTGTGACTGGAGTATGTGCGTGGGCTGCAGGTGGGGGGGTGGGGAGAAGAGTTTAGACAGAGAATACTGTATAGAATCAACTTTAATAAATTCACAATGAATCAGAACTTGCTAAAATTCTGTATTTTATGGATATTATGGCAGATTTGTTCCCTAATCTGGCTACCTGAGACAAAGGCAATTGCAACAGGCCAAGGTTCTCCTAGCAATGACGTGGCTCTGTGGACCTGTCCCACTCTGTCCAGGTTGGCAGGGTTTTTTGGTAAGTGAATGTGTGAGTAAAATGCTGTGTCTCTATGGCAGAATGAGCTGTCATTGGTGGGAAATACCCTGAATGAGAGGTTTTCTATTTTGGGTTCTTTGGTGCACATGTTTCAATAGAGCAAAACGTCCTACACCCAACCTACCTCAGCTAATGTATAGATGAGTGTTTCTGAATTTGATTTGATTATCACTGAAAATTGTCCTTTCTTCTCACATATGTGTATGGAGTATAAAGTGATGACTTGGAAGGTTTTTGAATTTGAGATTAGTGTCACACACGTTATTTGTAGAACATCTAGCCGTGTGGAAAACGGAGCAGGGAAAGGGTCATAGTTTGGAAGACCTCTAGAAGTCACAAGGTTCCTCTATGAAAACTGCTAGTCTTTCTTTTTCTCTCTTTTCTTTCTCTTTCTTTCATTCTTCTTCCTTTCCTTTCTCTTGCTTTTCTTTCCTTCTCCTTCCTTCTTTCCTTCCTCCCTCCTTCCTTACCTCTTTTCCTTTCCCCTCGTCGTCTCTCTCCTTTTCTCTCTCTCTTTCTTTCTTTCTTTCTTTCTTTCTTTCTTTCTTTCTTTCTTTCTTTCTTTCTTTCTTTCTTTCTTCTTTCTTTCTTTCTTCTCCTTCCTTTCCTTCCTTCCTTCCTTCCTTCCTTCCTTCCTTCCTTCCTTCCTTCCTTCCTTCCTTCCTTCCTCTCTCTCTCTCTCTTTCTTTCCTTTCCTTTTCTGAGTATCAGATCCATGGTTTTATGTATACTAAGAATATGTTCTACCACTGTGCTAATTTCTAAGCCCATACTGCTGTCCTTTCTCAGTTTAATTTTTATAAATTTTTTTTTTTTTGGGTCCGGTCGTGGGGCCTGAACTCTGGGCCTGGGCACTGTCCCTCAGCTCTTCAGCTCAAGGCTAGCGCTCTACCACTTGAGCCACAGCACCACTTATTCTTTTTGCTTATGTGGTGCTGAGGAATCGAACCCAGGGCCTTAGGCATGCAAGGCAAGCGCTCTACCACTGAGCCAACTTCCCAGCCCCTAATTTTTATAAATTTTTATTGAGTCCTTCTGGGTAGAAAGACACGTGATGAGGGAAGGATAACTGGACCTTGTCTGGAATGTTAAAGGGGCCCTGAGGTGAGTGAGGTTTTTCTTTCCCCATTCCTGGGAGACAGGAAGATGACAGAGCCCTTGTATCAGTCTTTTACAGAAGTCTGGTAATGTATCACATCTTCCTTCTCTCTACTCAGCCTCGCCTGAGAATTTATGTATTCATTAATTATGTGAGCATTTATAAGGTGCCAGATACTTTTTAAGATGCAGGAGATACACAGGTAAACAAGAGAGATAGTGCCCTTAGAACCTATATGTTTATGAGATGAAGCATACAGAAAATAAATATATAAAAAAATTAAGTAATGCTAATACTATGCCTTTCTTTGGAGGTTCTGAGAATGTTATTTGGCAATAAAACAGCCTGATAAGACACAGTTCTGGTCTCCTGTCAGACAACCACACAATGGCCTTCATGCTCTTCAGGGTCCTCTGTGGTCTGCTATATAAGAATCCGTACAACTCCTGATAGCTGTTTTGGTGGCTAGGCACAAGTGTAGGAGAACATGAGCTGACTGTTTCTGCGTTCCAGTTTTTATTGTTACTGTTATTATTTTGACAGTACTTGTGTTTAGATTTAGGGTTTGGTGCTTGCTAGGCAGGTGTTCTACCACTTAAACCATGACCCCAGAAATTTACTGTTAATCAGAAGCCATGGAATTCCCAGGAGCTTTTGAGATTTGAGAAAGATTTGCAACCAAGCTTTAAACCCTATTTCTTTACAAGATAACAATTTTAGTAGTTGTTTAGGGCCTTACCTAGGTGGGGGTGTTGGAGAGATACTCAAATCATCTTCTGATACTTGGAATAAGAATATCAACACTGGCTGGGTAGTGTGGCAAACAATTGTAATCATAGCACTTGGGAGGTCAAAGCAGAATGATCATGTGTTTTGGTCAATTGGGCTATATAGTGTAGCAACAAACAAACAAGCATTCTTAGAGGTGTATTCTTTTTTTTTTCCCCCCAGTATTATTAGAAAGGATTCCAAAGAATTCACTTAACTTTTTCTCATCTTAAAACATATGTCGTTGAGGGAGTTGTGGTTATTTTAGAGCTTGTAGGTACTCTGACACAGTAGTTCCTTCTGTTCTTATACAAAACAGGCCATATGTTCAGATAAGTGTGGAGCATAATTTTAATATAAGGTTTAGGAAAGTGAATTGCACAGAAGAGTGACCTGCCTGGGACTTTCTGGCAGAATTTGATGGAAATGTTTGAGATTTTGAGAAAGAGAACTCTGAGTGGCAATTTTCTCCATGAACTCAGTACAGCAGATATATTAGTATTTTTTTCATAAGAGAATTTTGTGCCCAGTAATAGATAGAGGAAAGTAGCACAAATGCTCAGACCAAAGGGAGGCTTCTCCTTTGTTTCCTTTTCTCAAAGTGAACCCTTAAAATTAATAGCTATAATTAGCTTTGTTGACCATATTTTCTTATTATCTATACATATTTCCTATTTCTAAAGATTTACTTCTTGCTTTTGATCAAAAATTTATGTCTCTGTGTTAGAGTGCTTAAAAGGAACAAGTTTCCTGGGTAGATCAACAAAATTAGATTCTTTTAAAAAATTTTTTATTGTAAAAATACAAAATTAGATTCTTAAAATGAGAAGAAACAAGGTTAAGATAACTTAAAAGGATTAGTGCAATTGTTCTCTATTCTTTTAAAACAAACTTCTTTTCCTTTAAAATTTAAATGTCCAAAACGAGCTTTACAACGTCGGTGGGGGGGGGAAGTGGGGGGGGGGAAGGAGAAGGATTGGGATTGGGGGGGAAGGGGGAGGCTGGGAAGGGATGTGAAGGGTAAACCAAAGGAGGAGGCTGCAATGCTTGGTAAGAAATGTACGCATTATCCTGCCTATGTAATTGTAACCCCTCTGTACAGTATGTTCACAAATAAAATAAAATTAAATTAAAAAAAATAGCCAGTGGCTTCAATGGAAAAATAGATTTTTCTTCCTTCCTCTAGGATTGGAGTTTGGTGTAGCAGACTGCTGAACTGAATCCTAGCTCTGGCTCTTCCATTAATTAGCTATGTGTTCTGTGCAAGGTTCTTGATGTCTCTAGCTCTTTCTTCATCTGTAAGATAAGAGAGCTGATCTAACCTTTATGTACCAGCACACCTAAAGCCAATCTTATATCCTCTTTGATTTGTCTAACTCAAGAGAGAGAGAGAGAGAGAGAAAGAGAGAGAGAGAGAGTGAGAGTATGTGTGTGTGTGTGTATGTTGTGCACAAAGCAGAGCATTAGGTGTGAATGTGTGTAGATGGAAAAGCACCACATATCTAAGATACATCTTCTTCAGGAATGAAGTAGTGTCTATAGGCTCCTTTCTGTTGAAAATCTTATGTCAGTAGTGTATATCATTATGTCACAAATTCCTGCTCTCAAATGAGTTGAAAGCAATACTGGTCTTAGGAAGAGATGACCACCTGTCTGGTTTAATTTTAGTACTGTCTCCAAATACCTTCCTACTCAAAAACATATCTTGTCCCTCCTCTCTCCCACCCTCCAAGCCCAGCCTCCTGTTTTTCTATTTGGGCCTGGCGTTTTGATTGAAGTCCTTATTGGGTTAAACTAGGTTTTGCAATGCATTTTCCACAGAACACTAGTGAGTCCCCTGCCATGTTCAAGTCAAAAGGACTATTTGGACAAGTCATCTGAGAAACACTTGTGAATGTTTTGGAACCTCAACTCCAAAACATTTATTATGTATATAGCAGTCGTAAAGCAAAGAAGTCCTCAGACAAGTAACCATGTTTAACTTTTCCTAATCTAGAGCTCTCTTTGTTTTTGATACCTAGTAACATTACATAAAGCTACTATGCTATTCTTTGGGACTAGTTAATAAAGGGAGGAAAATTTCTCCAGATTTTCATAAATGAAACTTTGTGGCAGAATTTTGTTGTCCTTTTGTATTAAGCTGTATGAGTTTATTTGGTTAGTTTTTAGGTCTCAAAGGGATGGCTTTTGGGGAAGGGATAGAACGGGGTGGCAGGAATACAACAACGACATTTCTTTGGTGTTTATAGAAAGCAGAACTAATAACTGTTGGATGTGAATGATGGTGTCGTCATCTGTGTCAGCTAAAAATTGTTTCCCAAAAGATATCCATGTAGAACTTATGAGTATGACTTTATTTAGTCAAAGGGTCTTTGAAAATATGATTAAGTGAAGGTTCTTGAGATGAGATCATGGCTCTAAGTTCAATGACATGATTTCTTGTATGAAACACAGAGACAAGGAGGTGATGTGACCATAGAAAAAGAGATAGGCGAAATGAGTTAAGGATGGCCAATATCTGCTAGAAACTGGGAGATAAGACTTCCCTGGAGTCTTCTCTTACTTCATCTCAGACTTGAAAAGAATCAGCTTCTGCTGTGTTTCGCCACCCAATTTCTGGTTGTTGATTGGTCAGTTGTAGGACATGAATAAGGGAAGAAGAGAAACCCTGAGCCAAACTTAGCCACTGAATAGTGATACCTGGGTTAACCTGGCTAGCATTAATGAGCACCACTCTGAACCCATGGCTATTGGAAGCCTATATCCAGAGATATGATTCAGGCCTCACTTTAGGTCATCTCTAGTCTTTAGCATCAGCCTTGAAGGTGAAGTAAGAACTGCCTTCCTTCTCCCCTCAGGCCACAGAGGCAGAGTGCTGCACCTGGCATTGAGTCCTGACCAGACCCGTGTGTTTTCTGCTGCTGTGGATGGAACAGCCTACGTGTGGAAGTGTGACCAGTCACCCAGCTCTTCCTAGCTTCCAGTGTCTCCAGGAGGTCGTTAGCAGGGGGCACCGTGAAGAGCTCTCCCAGTGTGCATGGCCTCTCTCCTCACTCTCAGCATGCTGTATGTGCTTTCTTCCTGATATATCTCCCATAGATTAATTGAGACTGATTTCTTCTCTCTGCTTTCTTCTGTCTCCATCCTCTTCTTTACCCCCACTTTTTCTTCCACCTTTCCTTTCTTTCCTTTCCTTTCCTTTCTTTCCTTCCCTCCCTCCCTTCCTCCCTCCCTTCCTCCCTCCCTTCCTCCCTCCCTCCCTCCCTCCCTCCCTTCCTTCCTCCCTTCCTTCCTTCCTTCCTTCCTTCCTTCCTTCCTTCCTTCCTTCCTTCCTTCCTTCCTTCCTTCCTTCCTTCCTCCCTTCCTTCCTTCCTTCCTTCCTTCCTTCCTTCCTTCCTTCCTTCCTTCCTTCCTTCCTTCTTTCCTTCCTTCCTTCGCAATGTCCCTCAGCTCTTCAGCTCAAAGCACTCTACCAACCACAGTGCCACTTCTGGTTTTCTGACTGGTTTATTGGAGGTGAATCTCATGGACTTTCCTGCATGGGCTGGCTTTGGACTGTGATCCTCAGATCTCAGCCTTCTGAGTAGCTAGGATTTACAGGCATAAGCCACTGACGCCTGGATTTTTTTTTTTTTTTTTTGGTTGGTTGTGGGGCCTGAACTCTGGGCCTGGGTGTTGTCCCTCAGCTCTTCAGCTCAAGGCTAGTACTCTACCACTTGAGCCACACCGCCACTTCCGGCCTTTTCTGTTTATTTGGTTCTGAGGAATTGAACCCAGGGCCTCATGCATGCAAGCCAGGCACTAACACTGAGCCACCTTTCCAGCCCTCTTTTCTTTTTTTCTCTTCTTTTCCTTTCTTTCCTTCTTTTTGTGCCAGTCCTGGGGCTTGAACTTAGGGCCTGGGCACTGTCCTTGAGCTTCTTTGGCTCAAGAGTAGTGCTCTACCACTTGAGCCACTTACAGCCTTTTCTGACTAGTTTATTGGAGATAAGTGTCTCAGGGACTTTCCTGCCTGGGCTGGCTTTGAACTGTGATCATCACATCACAGCTTCTTGATTAGCTAGGATTATAGGCATGAGCCACTAGCACCCAACTCTAGTTCCTTCTTTTCACTGGTTCACAGTGAATCAATGAGTGACAATTCATATAAGTAAAGCACATAAATCCTAAGTGTATAGTTATGAAACTGTGTAACTACCATCTATACAAAGATATGAACATTTCTGGTTTCCTAAAAGCATCTCTATCTTTGCCTGCTAGCAGGGAACTAGCATTTCATTAAATGGCCAAGCATTTAATTTGTTTCTTCTAGAAACAATTGCTATTATAGTGATTTTATATAATGATTGTAAATTTTTTTTATAGTGAGTATTATATAGTGAACTCTACTATTCTGACCTTGATCAATGATGGATGAGAATTTTCATATGCTACCCTCAGGTGAATGGAATATTCTATGCAATATTCATACGTTGAGTCTATGTTGAACTGTAGTTTTTTTCTTTTTCTTTGATATTTATTATATGAATTTTGTTCATTTTATCATGAGCGAATATTTGAATTATTTCCGGTTTTGACTTTTAAGAATAAAGCTTTGTGGGGCTGGGAAGGTGGCTCAGTGGTAGAGCGCTTGCCTTGCATGCATGATTCCTCAGCACCACATAAGCAAAAAGAAAAAAGCTGGAAGTGGCACTGTGGCTCAAGTGGTAGAGCACTAACCTTGAGCTGAAGAGCTGAGGGACAGCATCCAGGCCCAGAGTTCAGGCCCCATGACCGGACCCCCCCCCCCCCAAAAAGAATAAAGCTTTGTGTATTATCAAACACATCTTTGGTGGATAAAAGCACTTATTCCAGTGTGGCATATACTCAGGGTGGAATTGCTAGATTAGAGGATGCACACATGCACACACACACACTTATATACATATGTGTGTGTATATTGTATTGATAGATATGTATAATTTTGCCAAGAAAGAGAAACTACTTTGTATTTCTACTAGCAATGAATGAATTCAAAATTTGTAAAATATATTGCCACTGGGGGATATTCCATCCTTTTATTGTAGTTAAAATCCTAAGTAATTCAGGATTATAGTAGGTGTCTAGACTTATTATCCTGGTGCCTGCCAGAGTATCTTGTAGAAGTCAGTACCAGATGTCACTTTCTATATGGGATTTCTCATCTCTGGCTGCATATTGGCATTGTTGGGGAGTTCATATAAAGATTATTTTGTCCTGGGACCTACCAAATAGCAAGTCAATCAGAATCTCTGGATGGATTTTGGGCACTGCTAAATTTAAATAGTCTGGTGAGTCTGTTGGGCAGCTATGTTTGAAGCCAGTGATTAGCATATTAACCAGTCTAAGCTGTGCTCCTGTCTTGTTAACATTTTTAAAAAAGAAACTGAATTCTAACCTGACTTATGGAATTGTAGCCACTTTGTATAACTATATAATAATAAAAAACTAATTCTACACCAGACTGATGTGTCTTATTAAATGAACAAAAGCAAAACAACCCTTTATTGTTTTGCAGAACAGGAGTTTGAACTCAGAGCCTTGCACTTGCTATGTTGGCACTCTATCACTTAAGTCATTCTTCCTGTCCTGCTTTTTGCTGATTAAATGCAGACTGCTAAGAAACAAAGCTGACTTTGTAGTGTATAATTTTCTTGTTTGGTCAAGCACTTAATTTGTTTCTTCTGGAACTTTAATATCTATTTCTTATTTGTGTTTACAAAATGCTGTTAGTCATTTCTGATTTGTTTCTCCCAGAGCCTAATTTTGGCATATAAATGAGACTAGAAAGTGTGAACATGTAACAACAACCTTTGAAGGGCAGACTTATAATTCTTTTCTTCCTGAATGTTCTAGACTATCTAGAACATTCCCCACAGAATTGCCGATCCCCCTACCCCATGCTTGTTACTAAGCAGGACTGATCTATCCTGCTAGGTCGCATTGAGGTAGTGAGTAGTTTAGAGAGACATTCTCCCATCACTCAATGTATGAGTGACACTGGTGAAACTCCTTCCCCAATCTCCCCCTAGCATTATTCATAAAGTTGCTATGGATCCACCCATGAATGTTATAGGAAAGAAACAGGGTCAGGCATATGCATTTTTATTTGTGATAAAGTTAAGAAATGACAGCAAAGGAAATATAATTATTTAAGATACCCCCTTCATAGTCTTGATGATCCACTTGAGATAGTGCTTTGAGAGAAGCGTGTAGACACCAGGTGCTCTTGGGTCCCCACATTTCCCATTCCGGCCAAAGGCAGCGATGCCTCGGAAAGTGCCATGGCATAGCAGTGGGCCTCCAGAATCTCCCTGGGGAAGCAAAGAGGGTGGAGGTGCCATGGGATCAGGCTGGATTCTGACCATAGGCAAACCAGGAGGGTCTCTACAGCATTTACTAATAAAAAGACAAACCTCGACTTTACTGAAAATTAGTGCTTGAGAAAATAAAAAATGTTAAGAAATGTTTAACTATTTTAAAATTGATTCACTGTGTTCATTTACAAACCAGTGTAAGCTGAAGTTAAACTTGTTATCTACCGATTTTGAGGTTTGAGTCTCTGCTTTTAGAAAGGCAACCTTTCCTATGTTTCCTCAAAATACTTCATAAAGTAAGGAGTAAAATAGTAAAGTGAAAACGACACAATAATGCAAAGAATGAGAATTAGGTTTTCCAGTCCTAGCAGATAAATGATCTTCTCAAAGAAACAAAATCAAATAGCCCCTTTGGAGTAAAAGTTGGTCTTAGGGGTATATGAAATGAAAAACCCTTGTGAGAACTTGAAGTCCTTCCATAGTCATTTTTTCGCTGCTTAGTATAGTGCTTAATATTTTCAGAACGAGTCTCTTAGATTCTAAGGCAGGGAAGGATGGCTAAGCTTCATAATAGAGGGGGCTCTGGGCAGGGCCTAGCCTCCAAGGATGATGTTGAATCTGAAGTCCAAAAGCAGGACATTTACGCTCCTGGGTTCTCTAATACAGAATGTGAGAAAGTGGGTAAGGGAGGGACAAGAAGAGAAAGTGGAAGGGTGCCGAAAACAAATGCCATCTTTTCCTACCATTTGGCTAGCCTTGGTCCTAAAGGTTGCTTGTGATTCCTGGATATGACAGAGACCTTCAACCCGGTTTGGTGGCTCCCAAACCAGGCACACTACACCTACCCAATAAAATTCTTTAAAATCTTTGGATCCTGGGGCTGGGAAGGTGGCTCAGTGGTAGAGCGCTTGCCTTGCATGCATGAGGCCCTGGGTTCGATTCCTCAGCACCACATAAGCAAAAAGAAAAAAAGCTGGAAGTAGTGCTGTGGCTCAAGTGGTAGAGCGCTAGCCTTGAGCTGAAGAGCTGAGGGACAGCGCCCAGGCCCAGAGTTCAGGCCTCACGACTGGACCCTCCCCCCCCCCCCAAAAAAAAAATCTTTGGATCCTAAAGAGAAATATCATGTCAGTACCCAGAGCTTAAAATGTGTAGTGTTCCCCTCTGGACAGCATCTTTACAATAGAATAAAATTAAAAAAATTAAAAAAATGTGCAGTGTTTATTTTACTCTTGTTTTGAATCAGGCCCCTGTCTTTACTCCTTCCCTTTCTCTGGGCACTCTGGGATGGAGGCTGACATGTTCCCTGGTGTGGTCCATGGGTAGGGGTTGTTTATGGGGTATCCAGCACAGTTCTAGCATGCTGTGGGTCCAATCTCAGGTCCTCAGCCATTCTTGAGAATGGCAGGATTTCAAACATGCCCAGGCTAGGTGGACTTTCAGGATGATGCTGAGGCGGGATATGAGACCAAAGGCCTTTGAGCAATGCTGATTTCAGCTCTGCTTCATGCCTTTGTATTGTAGATACATATATGGTAATATGAAAAACAAGTATATTAAAAAAAAATATAAAACCAAGAAGATGTAGTAAATCATGCACTCTCAGTCACCTTATTTTTAGTGACTCATTTAAGTTGAGCAAATT